TTCTGTCTAATTTTCTTTTTCTGTGACAAATGTTGTCGTACGTGTGAGATTCTCCACAACAGATAACTTCATTCTTTATTAGACTAGCTTGGAGTGTTTTATAATAAGCTGGCGGTACCGGTGATGGACGAGATCCTGGCCTCCCTCGGTCTTTCCGATGAAGTAATGAAGTTATTCCGTGATAACGGCGTAGGCCTAAGTGTTTTTTTTACGATGCCCGATTTCAATTGATAAATGCATACTTGCCACTTGAGTTTTTCTTATCTGGACACGTCATCGATAACTTGTTTTCTGCTGCTTAACATGAAGACACCACTGTTGCTGGCTCAATTAACACTGACAATACTAAATAAAACCCGAAATCCTGCGTTAATAAATTCGATAAAGAGAACTAACTGTCATTTTTTGTTTCCACAGGTTGGACCCAATGAGGTTATGACTGCAAGCGATTCAGATTTCCAACTCCTAGGTGTTGCCAGTATTGGCGATCGGATAAAAATCCGTCAGAAATGTAGAGAATATGTAGACAGTAAGTACTACCTGTACTGGATTCGATTATTTACAAGGTCATACCAGAAGTAAATATTTATTCGGTATTCGAAGTTAGCAACCTCAATTATTCTATAATGGCCCGAGAAAATTGCAGTAGAATTCGAGATAACTCAGTGTCGACTGGACGTGACTGAAAGAAGAAGACTAACCGAGGAGCTGTAAAATTATGCAGGACTTGCATACTGTTAAAACAAGATGTAGTCCAGTCACAAAACTTAAGAAAGGAAAGTGTCTTGGTTTCATTCTTATTAGCCATATGAAAGTTCACCTTAAAACAAAGTTTGTACTGTAGACATAGATGTAGTACAAGTTAGATATGTCTGTAGGCTACACATAATGGAATAGGCGGAAACTTTACATGACAAGGAACTGGTTGTGCAGTAGAATGAAAAGGCGGCGATTTCAGACATAATGGAAAATTTGTTAAAGTTAAATCTAAAGAGGTGGAATGCTAATCTCGCTAAAATGAATAATTACAAATTATCAAAGTTACTGTGGAGTACCTTTACCCGTATTTCAACAGAAAACGGATATGGTTAAGTTAATGCTAAATTTTTTCAAAATTACATGGCCGCCTGATCGAGAATCAGGGAGGAGACTTCAAGAATGTGTCAACTTATTGTCTGGTTTTATTTTCTGTTTTCATGTTAAAAGGTACTGCCGCTACAGCACCCGTGGTAACAAAACTGAGGAATATGGTGAAAAGCAGGCGACTTGGTAAAACATCATTCAGATCAACCGGCAAACAGTGTGGGAAAGAATCACAAACACAGAAAATCACAGTTGGATGGAAACATCGTGATCGAAAGGGAGGTCCACTAAAGCAAGTGACAGCAGCCAATGGGGGAGGCTCATGCCATATCCCATGGACATTCCGAGAAACTCATCTCTGGAGGAAATAATTAAGCTCTGCACGGATCTGTTTTTTCCAGGGGGGGAAAATGAGGCCAAAAGTGTTCGGTTGAAAGATGTCCACACCAACGTCACAACGTTCAGTGGGAAAACACTGGACTCGTTTGGTGAAGAGTTTACTCTTTGGCGTTTTTGCCAAGAGTTAAAGACCCACCCTGTGCGCGTGTACCTGGTAACTTCGGTGAAATCGGATGTAAGTATACATTTCCTTGACATGTGACTGAATATGTTTTTAACGTATTTGTAAAAATTGAACTGCAAATTCATGTAATACTTGAACTGTAAAGTTTCAAGGAATAGACCAATTATATTTCGAGGCCTGCCTGCTTGCCGTAAAAAGCTTCCCTTTCAAGTCTTTTTACAATGGCCTAGCGAACTCTTTTATTTTTTTTTCATTGTTAAATACCATTGTGAGTTTTAGGATATGTATCCATCTATTATGCATTGTGCTGACATCAGTTAATGTTGCCTTCATGCCAGGACATATCTTCCGATGATGAGGCGGACGATGAGAACGACTTGCCCCATATCAACATCACTGCTGAGACATCGTCACGCTCAAAGGTGTGCATGCGATCATATTAACATTTTTATCTCGCTTACTTTACTAATGTGATTAGGTACAATAGAACGGGTACTCACCAAAAAATAGGTGTGACGTGGTGTTTTGAGACCGGCGTGTCATTTTTTCTATACTATTTTGGCCGTTTATACGATGTACTTTTAAGGATGTAGGATGTGTACATGTGTAAACATTGAAATGTAGGATAAATTGCAACAGGCATGGAATTACAGTTGGAGTCTTCAAAGATCAGTAACATACAGATTAGAGTGTTGACAGAAATGTCAAATATTAAAACGCTTTCCTAATCGTGTTACCGACATACTGTTAAGCGAAACTCTTGATATTGATAATGTCATTTACAGGTTGTGCCGAAATCCACCTGCTCGCTGGAAAACATTGCACAGCCAGACACTCCTACGGTGTCTTTTCCAGGCCACAGAAAAGTAAACTCTCTTCATTTGTTTTTCTTAATTAATATCAAGAGTTCGTGTGTTTCACAAATGAGTGTTCTTAGAGTAGTCTTTACGTTTTAGTTTGAATCAGTTTGTTTTGGATTTGTCAATTGCTTTGGGGTTCTCAAGGTTAAGACCAACTATGTTCCGTAATTTCAAGCGTGACCCTCTAGCGTCAGAGAAATAAAGTGTTGCCACACAGCCGACATTATTATAGTCCAATTGTTGTTCATGAAGGGAGTCTGTAAAATCTCAATAAGCCTGCTGAGAATACATGTGCTAACAGCTTTGAATAAGACCTGGAACACCGACAGGTTCCTTTGTGTCCGTAGTATCTAATGAAAACATTGCATTAGTGAAGACGTATCCTATGTAACTAATTGAACGCTGCAAACGAATCACGAGCTATAGCAACAGTGTTTTTAAGTTCAGTCACACAACTCAGTGTACCAGGCTTACTAAGGCTTACTGAGTTCTCATTTGCTGAGTATATGTTACCTGTTGTAGATTGTTTTCATTAATTTCATTCTAGGTTGGTGGAAGTGACAGAGAGGACCTGTATGAAACGTATGTCAACTTACTTGAAGACAGCGACGATGCACAAAGTGACGATGCACCTACAACGGATGTGGATGCAGTGACTACCGAGTATCAGTATGTTGCCGCAATTTTTCACAATATCAGAGTCATCTTACTCTTTAACAGTTACCTGCTTGGGCGTTATCTGGAAAGGCATAAACAATTTCCAATCGGAACATCCCAATATGTCTTTTCCAAAGATGTTCTTGCGTCCTGGAGGAGTTAATTGTGTTTTTCTTCGCTTTATCCGCTGCATGTTGTATCTGACTCGAACCAGCCAGCCGGCAACGGCAAGCTCGGTTACCGATTCAGTGATTAGGCCCCTAAGACGTTTGCACTTGTAAACGGGATGTCGTGGGCTCGAGTCCTACCCAAGACAAGCTTTTGTTTTCGACGTGCTCTCACTTGCACACTCTGAACAGTCAGGGTGGGGCAAAAAACAAGTGAATATGTGTTATTGTGTTTAGCGGTAGGGTCTACATGTAGTTCCTTTTTCTATGGAGGGCTTGAGAAGAATAGGTATTCACTCCCCAAATTTGGTCGGAATTACCAGGGGAAAACCCCGCCAAGGAGCAGAATATCTGAATGGGATTTTGTTGTCCCTGTTGCCTTCCTCGTCGATATTACCTTTGGACTTTCAAGTAAACAAAAACTGAAAAATATATTTATTACCATTTAACACTGTTTGTTCATTCATAGAGATGATCTGGAATCCTTGCCTGACATACACCAACGGGTAACTTCTCTCGTATCGAGCACACCTTTTACATTGATTGTTCACCGCAGAAAGATCCTGACGTCAACTAGGAGGGCCATCAAGTCCACTGAATTCAGTTTTTGGAAAACTCCCTTCGTGACATTTGCAGGCGAAGAGGCGGAAGACAACGGGGGGCCACGACGAGAATTTTTCAAGTAGACCTATAACCACGGGAATTGTTTTTTACCCTACATTGTACAGCCAGACCCGCCCTCACCTAACCCGTCCCACGATGACTATCTTCCCTGCCCATGCCCCTCGGCCCTGCCCATCGGAACACAAATTTTGATTGTTTGCTTTTTATGTTTTATCCAAGGCTGCTAATGGGCGAGGTGTTGGCCGGGGGAGTTTTTCAGGGTGTTCAGTCAGGAATGACGTTCACATACAACTTGCAACTTCTTAAAGAACAGGCATATAAGACCGCCGGACAGTTTCTGACCTGGAGCTTTGTAAACGGAGGACCAGGTCTTGCTGCCCTTTCACCTTCCCTTTTTGCTGCCATGACGGGTAAACATGTTAACCCATCAGACATAGAGCACATAGCTGACCCCGAATCTCGCGGAAACTTGATTAAGGTTAGTAAATCGTAATAGATCATACCAGCGTAAATGGTTTTCATATAACAGAAAAAATAGATCCGCTGAAATCGACGTTGTTCCGATGAAATAGACGTTTTTGATCTAGCTACAGAATTGCAAGGACCAACAGGAATACGAGAAGACAGTCCTTGATATCTCTGATTGGTTGATCCAAGAGGGAGTCGGCAAAGTCTTTGGGCTGCAGCTGAAGCAGCGTGACGAGCTTGTTAATGACCTTTTGATGCACGAGGTTTATTACAGGTACAATTTAATGTAACAAAAGAATAATTTTGGGTCAGACGAAGACTTAAAGAGTTAGCAATGAATATAGGGGAGTTAATTCAGATTTTTACTGGTCTCCTTCCCTGCTACCTGAGAACATTTATTTCGAAGCGTCTATCATAAACGGATTTGGTTGTATGAAACACAATTATTTTCTGCGATATGGGAATTTGATGTGTTCGTCAGACGTGTGTGACTGCATTGGGTGAGCTTAAGTACGAATTACTGGTCATAATACTTACTGACGGGAATACAAATATTAATAACTATATTGCCAAAGAAATCTTGTAGCGTTGGCATAGATTACATGATTTGCAGCAGCCCCTCCCCTTAAAAAGCCACCCAAAACAACCACCCCCCCCAAAAAAACCAACCCCCCCCAAAAAAACCACCCCCCCCCAAAAAAAGGACGCAGGAAATAGGTCGTTATCTCCCGCCGTCTTTTCTGGAGCGACTGGACTCGACTCTCTGTATTGCACCTAATACTCGATTTGCACTCGATTTATTACAGCCCCATGACTTTCGTCGGGTCTAGGGTACAAAACCGCATTGATTCCACCCGTGTCACAACAGTCGATGACTTCATACATCCAAAACTGTCGTGTAAAAGTATTCGTAGACAGGCAAACCCCACAACGTTCCAAAAGTCCAATATACGTCATCAAGCTAGACTTATCCAGGTCTCACGTGTGTAATCACCACTAACGTTCCTAGTTGTAGAATTGCTAAAATTGACCAGTACAGTTTGATACTAATTTTGTCACTATCTTGCTTGGACTTGTCCTGATTCTTTTTTATATTAACCTGTTCCAGAGTACAACCAGCTGTAAACCAGTGCATTGAAGGCCTAGGGCCACTTTGGCCTGAAATCCTAAAGAACCCCACTGCAACGGCCCCATTGTTCGTGACCCAAAATAATGAACTGACACTACGAGACATGAAGAAACTCTACAGGATCAATTATTCACCTGATGGGTCAAACAGACACCTCTCTGAGGAGGATACAGTGTATTCCTTCGAAATCTTCCTTCAGCGCTGTGCCGGTAATTTTTTGTAGTTTTCAAAGCTATTGAAGCAGTTAATTCATATTGTATTATTGAAATCCATCATGGATTGAAATCCATGTCCGATTTGTTTGATTTCTAAATTCTTGTTATGAGCTCCTTTTTTTCTCAAGCACATTATGTTGGGGACGGGTTCACTGTTCATTGTTTTTTTAATTTACGGATGCAAGTAGATACATCTTCTGTATATGTAACTGTTTTAACATCTGGTTACAGAGAAGTCTGCAGATGTTTCCCTTGGGCAACTGTTGGAGTTTTGGACGGCGGCCGACAAGATCCCTCCTTGTGGGTTTACAGAAAGCCTTGTTGTGGACTTCTACACGCCTGTTACCGGAATCCGTCGTTTGCCCACTTCTCACACGTGTGGTCCAATTCTTTGGCTCCCCAGAGGCGTGGAGGAACCTGATGACCTCCAAGACCTGATTGTGGAAGCCATACAAAACTGTCAAGGTTTTGGAAAAATCTAACTCCTGTCATCATCCAACACCAAATAAATTCTAACTTCGTATCTGTTGACCATAGGGGTGCAGACCACTAATTCAAGTGAGAATTT